TTGAATAAATATATCTTAGAGACATGGCTGTCATGCATATCGAAAAACAAGAGCCGACTAGGTGTTGTGAAGAACTCACTGCGTGGATAATTAATATCGAATTTAAAGGAGAAGAAAGCTGTGTTAAGAGTGGAAATAGTGTTACCGCGACCTGTAGCATGAAACCAAGAGACATACCTACAGGCATTAGTGCATAGAATTATTGACTGCTGATGGTGATCTAAGGTGATTATTTGGACTGATTGGAAACAACTTCCATCAGTTTTTCAGTTTTCTCCCGCTAGGTTATAAAGCTAAGCTGTTAGTCAATATCAGTTACACAAGTGAAATTACTGATGTAGAATTATCTACTAATTGACACTATTTTGGTGACACCAATGCTTTTGTTCAACAGAACGAAGTCTACACCATTCGGGTGTAGTTTGACAAATCTGATGATTGAACGGGACTCTGATTCAGATGCCACGGTCCAATTTCTGGAAAACCATTTAACTGTTCATTCATCTGCTTGTATGTCAGATGAAGAATCGATATTTGAAAGCAGTGAAGACAGTGACACGATAGTAACAGTCTCAAAAATAGGTATGCAAGATTACTTGTTTTTGACTAGCTTTCACACTTTCTCCAGTTATCAAGTATTCATATGACTACGTTTCTCACATTTCAAATCCTGTCTTACGAAAAGTTTAGTACTGTTCACCGTAACTCAGTGTATCTTAATTGCATTGGAATTCTTCCGTGCTGTTGTTGTTAGCTGTTGCGAAATAAAGCACTCCGCAACTGCAGGCCAGCTACAGCTTCAACTTTAATGGGATATCTGATATTATGCCTGGTTGCTACTATATATTTTCCGGTTATAATGAGTCTTTATCCTACACGGGGAATTTAATACTGTTGACAGTAGAAGCATGTTGATAAGCAACTGAAATACCAATTTATTAGTGAACTAGAGTATAGACATTTATTTCACCTTATTTAGGAGAACAGGTAACAGGGTTGATACCATTGTTCCTTTATACTATATCAGATGAATCACACTCAGCCTTTGTAATAATAGGAATCTAGACTACTTGATATGTTGTGTCTAATGAAACAATAATGAACCGAATAATGCGTACATATATTGATCATGTAAGTCGCAGGATTATTCACAAAAGTGGAGATATTGGTCTGTTTCAGAAAATACAGTGGTACACTTCATTAAGTGAACTCATATCTGAACAGCGAATATAATAAGGGAAATGGAATGTTTATATCTCATTGGTTCTATTGTTGGATAGCAGTTAACAGACTCATTTTCAAAAGGTAAGGTAAACTTCTCCATAGAGTGTTATTTCTAACGTCATAGCCGTCCATCCCGAGAAACTACTAAGCTGTCATCATTTTTTGAGATCATTTCATTTACCATAGCTTCCTTAGAGCTTATTTCCTTAGTGATCCCAAATAGCTGATGGGTATTATTTATCCCTGATTCCTTTTCCACTACCTCCTCCTTTATCACCCACCGTTGTTCAGGGTTGTTGTAGAGAATTTCATCCAGGTAAATTCTGGGCACCTTTTACACCGTATCATTTCTGGAACCGCTGGTATAACCCTTCTGGGATCATTCAGTCCGAGACTTCATCAATCCAGTGGGATTAACTAACCTCTAGTTGCAGGTTATCAAAGACATGGATATAATACCAGGCTTTTTAAGGATAAGTTTTTGACAAAATTAGGTTAGCATTTAGTTACCCTCTCGCTGAATGTAGACCTTATTTAAATATTGTGAAGCTGGATAGGTAAGGGCTTCATAGCTGTTTGTTCTCTACTAACGTTCAGCTTTAGGCTTGGCCTAATGCATGATCCGAGTCCATGCATGTATTCCAAGTGGGAAGTCTCTCTTCTACCACTCCTTCTAATTGGTTACTCACCGCAAACTGGACAATGTGCGACCATCGGTGAGTTGATATTTGTGATTTCTAGGTGAAACACTGTGTATTCTTATGTTTGAAACTAGTGCTGGTCAGGTTCAGATGGTTACTTGAGCAAAACTGTAAGAGATGATCACCACGATCCGTGCTTGGACACGCGACATCGTGGAGAGGCTCAATATTTATTTTAGATTAAACATTATTACCACATAATGAGATTATTCTCTGAAAGTTGTGCTTTCAGTAGCAAACTGGTTAACTTTTAGAAAAATACCTCTTTGATATCGTCTGAGTTGCATTCAGTGAGTGTTACAGTTTTGCTTCATCTAGTTGATCAATTCAGCAAGACTGCACTTAAGTACCTGCCTACCAGCATTCAAACGGACAGTGAGTTTTCTGCTGTTTAAGTCGACCCCACTCTTAACGAGATGGTGTATGGGAACAAGCCGAATAATTTTCCGACATCCCAATGGGAATTAATCATATAAGCCAGGTAGAGTCAAGAGAATAGCTACTCCTGAGCTTTGTATGTCCTAGATGTACCAAAATCATAAATAGCTAGAGTTGACAGAGGTCTCACTAGTGTGGTATGTAATGCATTTCGATGTCGAGAGCTCAAAATTAAAGTTGGTAGTATGGTTTTGAGAAAGTGATAAAGGCATTTCTATGGTTGAAGCCGCAAGCAATGGTTGCAGAGATGGGAGTAGTTAAAGAAACAGTTTATGAAAGGGAATTAGCAGTGGGTTTAGTAATACTAGATGAGGAGGGTAAGTGTTTGAAGGAACTTGTCACCGGCAAAAAGACGACTGTAAGGTAGGTCAGAACGCGCCGGTTTGGCAACCAATACTTAATGCCTCAGTATGTTAAGGCATTATAGCTGAACTACGTATAACCTGAAAAGAAATGACTAATCATTCTAATGACTAAGTTATCTAAGAAAACTGTTTTGTCGATGTGGAAGGGGACTATCATTTTGCCGACAACTAAAGTGATCTACTGTAGATTTGTTTCACATCTACAAGTTTCTTAATCTGTCTGCTCATATCGAGCGGTTTTAGTATAATTATCGACTCTGTCAACATAATCTTACCTGTCCATATTATTTATTATTATTTTATTGCTTTGAGTTCTGAGTGGAACATAAGACTTCAAGGTTAAACTTTGAAATTTCAGTAGCATTTATGTTTATTTCTTACAGGATTGGGTCGCTATCCTTACACCCAACCTTCCCTTAATACGCAGGAATCAAACCGCAGACCAAGATAGTGTCTTATAAACTAAATCGGAGATTAATATGCAATTTCCTTCTTTATCTTCCTGGAAGTAACACAAAATAATGAAGTCCCCTTAGAATTCTCTAAATAAGTATGACCAGCTGTTTTCATGCTGTCGTTCTTCAAATATGCTATCTCCTTTTTGCTTCTGTTGTCAATTCATTATTTTGTATGGCAACTCTCTTAGTACCTATATTATACCAAGCTTGTATTTTAAATAACACAAGGAAATTAGCGACTATTTAACTAAGCCTCTAACTGATTGCTTAAAGGCCGAGCATCTAAGCTTCAGAAGAAAGACTCACAATGCTGTGCTGTATTTCTGTACGTCCTTCGTAGCATAGGTGAACTAGTCATCTAGGTGTGACACAGGATACCATCATAAATAAATAATGAATTATAAGATCAGGAAGATTGGATTTCCACAATCACCTTATATAAAACTTATAAAATGAAGTCAAAATGCTCATGGAGAGTGATAAAAGAAAACGAGAGGTACATGTAACTGAAAAGAAAATTTAATTTTCAATAAACAATTTTCTAAAGCTGTACAACTGTATTTATATTCAACAGAGAAGTCATAAAACCAACCAAGTGTAAGTTATATCCTAGAAAACGTATTGCGTAACGCGTAGTCTAGCAGAGAATGCACAAGGGGATTGATTACATTATAAGGGTATAAAAATGTTACTAATAAAAAAGAATAATTCTAAAATAAAAGTAATGGTAGAATTAATACAGAAAACAACAAAATTAAACAAAATTACTTTCTCTTGAAAATAACATCCTTGATCCTTTGATCGGGGAAATGTCGCGGCCACACCATCTTTCTATACTCAGAATTGTCCGTTGCATATGAAATGAATGTTAAAGATATATTTCAGGAGTTGTTCCTTTAGGTGTTTGGTGGGATGAGGAATTTCTAGGTTGTTGGATTTAATGTAGTCACATATGAAGCATACAGTCTCAGTTAAGGGGATGCTTGTGAAGGACGACGTTACTTCTAGAGACAGCACTTGTCTTTCAAACGTATTGACATCTTTCTCTGATTCAATGAAATCAAATGTACCTTTAAGAATATACTTTTTCATGTGCTTCGGTGCCCGTTAGACGATATTTGCTACATATTTTGTTATCTGATGATAAGGTGATTCATTATACTAAAGGTTTTTGTATTTCCCAATGAATGAAAAACAAAACGATATTGTTTTTACTGACGTTTCGGTATTTAATGCTAATAGCTTAATCAAAGTATTATTAAATCGGAATTTACAAAATCTCAGCATATATGTACATAAAAGAGTTAAGAGGTGAGAAAATAGACTTTAGATATATGCTGAGATTTTGTAAATTCTGACTTAATAATACTTTGATAAAGCTATTAGCATTAAATACCGAAACGTCAGTGAAAACAATATCGTTTTGTTTTTCATTCATTGGGAAATACAAAAACCTTTATTATAATGAATATCATATACCCAATGCCCAAATTTTTTTCAAACCGTTAAAAGTGAACTTGGTTTGGACATATCTGATGATAAGGTGAGTTTACAATTTCTAAAATGAGCGTTATGTACTTCAGGCGGTTCATACAGCTTTGGAATAGTTGAACTGCACGGTTTTATTTGCTGAGACACCTCTGAGGTTGAAATTGACTCATCTTTCAGTTTTCTTCAATAATTTGCTAGAAGACCAAAAGTAATTATTAGGTAACGCTATTGTAAACTGTAGTAATTTATTGTACTTGGAATATTAGTATTTCGAGATGACCGAATTACACGAATCCAACCAAAACACAGAGAGGGCAGAACTCAGGAATTTGTATTTAGCGGAATTATTATGCAATTCATATAAGAAACATATTAACAATCAACAGTAAGTATTTAAACAATACAGAGATAGAAATTGTCAATCACCACATCCGCCACACGTCGAATATCTCCTTGCGTATTTATAACGATGTCTCGGTTTGCTTGCAAGTAGCTGCGACCTTCTAACTGATTCTGTGATATTATTTTCATCAGTATTATCTGGACTTATTTCTGAATTATCTACAAAATCAGGATTATTAGCGGAATCAATAATATTATAATTGGAACGACCTACTTCATTTATTGTCACTTTGTCCAGGTGTCCGTTATGAACTGAGTGATCTTTGATGTCTAATATCTTCACCACTCGATTTCCCATTTTTTGTAGTATAATTCCAACAGAAGGTCTATAGTTATTACCTTTGTAATAATGTACATTAGAAGTCGTGGACATCAGATGCTTTTTGAGAATTCGAGATTTGAAAAGTTTTGCAGGACTTTCACGGGTACTTGTATGCTCTGCATTCAACAGACGCAGTCTATGCATATGCAACAATTCCTCCATTTTAATCAGTTGCTCTCTCATCTCATTCAGTTCTTCTCGTGTTTTCGACAGTTCACATTGTAACTCGGCTACCTCATTTTTGAAAACAGTTGACGTTTGAGTTGCTGAACTTGTAGTGGAGGTTTTCATTGGATTAGCTTGAGTATTTTGAAAAATTGAAAGACACATTGACTCCATTTTACTAGACAGATTGGGAGAATTATAAGAATTTTGAGTAACATAAGTATTCGAACTTCTGCAAACAGTCTTGATGTGTCCAACTTTACCACATTTGTGACACTTAGCACCCCGAAAACGGCAAGTGCTTCGTAGATGTAACTTTCCACAGGATAAACACGGTTTAATGTTTTTGATCTCTCGCTGCATTCTATTACCTGTGGACGACGGTTTGGATTGCTTTCCATGAACACTTGTATTTTCGACTTTAGACAACATGACATCAGATACTGACGTAGTGGGAGCAGAGTATTCATTATTGACATCTTCATATGTAATACATAAATCTTTAGCAGTTTGAAAAGTACAAGAAGGAATCTGAATTAACTCTTTCTCTAACTTAGGAATATTGATTCCAGCAATTAGACGATCACGTAGTTGAGTATGCAGCTGATCTCCAAAATTACACTTTGAAGCTTGAATTTGGAGTTGCAGAATAAAGTCTCGAATCTTCTGGTTGGGAGCACGAACCAGTTTATTGAACTGAGCCCTCTCTCGCGTCTCAAAAGTAGTTATATGAAAGTGATCTATAAGAAGTTCACGGAGCTTAGCATATGGCAGAGAAATGGGTTTATCTGGAAACGCCAGATTCTTCACTAGGCTATATGCATCAAGCCCAATAGCAGTGAAATGTGCTGGTATTTTGTCATCCCGAACATTCTTTGAAATGCACCACGCATCGAAGCATTCCAAATAATCAGCAATCTCCCGCGGATACCCATTAATAGGAAATTTTCCAAGGTTATTTAGTTCCATCGCGACGCCAATTTGTAGTAATTTATTGTAGTCGTAGTATGACTATTTCGAGATGACCGAATTACACGAATCCAACCAAAACACAGAGAGGGCAGAACTCAGGAATTTGTATTTAGCGGAATTATTATGCAATTCATATAAGAAACATATTAACAATCAACAGTAAGTATTTAAACAATACAGAGATAGAAATTGTCAATCACCACATAAACGCTGCTGATCAATTGGCACCCGAGACTCTTCACTGACAGTGAAAATTGCATGATGAAGTAGATGCATTAGCTTCAGTGTCAACAACAATGAGTCTCCGTCTTGATCTTCTTTCGTCCACCAGAACTACTTCATCATCTGAAGAGATTTACCATTAACCGTTCAAGCATCATATCATTTGTGTCACAAAGTAGCAATGCTCAGGAGGAGTTTTCTTTTGGATGTAGCTAACCTTGACCACGGTAGGCCGATAAACTATACAGAAGAAAGGGAAAACGCTAACTTCGAGGCATATCACACTAAGTATTGAAGAAAGTCTTAACAACCTTAATTTAAAAATCTTGTTCGAACATGGTATTCATGTTCTAGTTCTTGTTACGTTTCTTTCGACTTCTTTGTTCCCATGCTTTCTATGCTAATAATGTATAGCCTCCATTTCTCCTGCCTGAATTTTCGTTTAACTACTCTCAATGTGTGCCAAAGACGTCTCACAGCATATTACTTACAAGCTCCTCCCAGTGGTACACACGATAATTATAACATTGATAGTGGTAATAATTAAAATATTCATAATACGAGTGTTAGTAATAACCTGAGTGTCATTCCTGCACTCATTCATTCTCTCATCTATCAGTTTCCTATAATCCTATTGATCCTTTTTACATTTTGTCAACACAGCCGGTAGCCTGTCAGTTTTCTGAAATGTTTGCCGTGGACAGGTATGTTGTGCAGACATGTAGCTACTAAACACACATGCATTTTCAAAAATCATCATAATACATTGTAGACCTGTGGCTTTACTATGGTCTGTTTTTATCACTAATTTTCCTGCTTCTATCTGTGTGATTTTTGATTGGCGTGATCGGAAAGTGACCTTGCAATTATTATGGACATTTTTATGCTATGCTTCGCTGTTTATCGTTATCTACAAGTAAATGAGAAGTTGTGGATTTTCGTAACAGTTATCATCTTAAATTATTAGTTAGATTCACTGGGAATTTTTTTACTGTTGTAATTATTGTTTAGCATCACACAGCATATATACGTCTCCAACTTATGAGTAACAAAAGAAATCGATTTAGTCCCTTGTGGATAACTTGTTTTTGTGCTGATTCTCGTGCTGCTGTTCTTGAAGAGGCTGATGGAAAGTTGGCTCGTTTGATTCAGAAGGGTAATCTGCCAGCAATTGAACGTGCTATGAGACGGTTAAAACAACCACTAACAAATTTAACTGTAACAGTCAAGCGACGTCATTTGAGTACAGCTTATCCTTGTCTAGTCGATCATCGAGCAACTGGAACAGATCCATTTATTAATTTTTACCAGGAATGTTCTCCAGTAATCTGGGCTGTGGATTGTTTACAGTGGCACGTACTGCCTTTATTGACACGTTTCGGCCTTGATGTTAACCGTCCACAAAGTTGTCGTCGTTGGACCTATATCTGTGCTCCTAGTTCCCGTCCCAATACAGCACCATATCGTAGATTTTGGACGCGTGGTCGCTATACATATCAGTCAGCATTGGATTACTTTTTTGCTAGTGTCTATGAATTTGTTGGGGAGCATACAACAAGTTATAATGGATTAAATGGACCAAGCCCATTGGCTTTCTATTTTTCACACTTACCAACAATATTATCAAAAGGTGTAGATGTACACCGCATTGATTCAGTAATTGTTTTCAATTCACTTGCAATCAGTTTCGATCAGTATTTATGTCGATACACTAATGAACATGCTATAATACCAGACATACCCGAAAACGATGATTCATTTGTTGAAATGCTTACTGTGAAACGTTTAATAGAAAATGGCTTTTCACAGTTTGAATGTATGGATTATTTATATCCATGTTGTAATTGGTTCGGTATCCTGTTATGCCTTGTATGTCATCCTAAAATTGACTCATACTGTAATACAGTATTACCATCAATCATAAAACAGTCCGCTTTGCTATTGATTAATCTGCTTGCTTTAAAATGTACCTTTCCTTCAGTTGAAGATTTTCGTGAATCCTTGGAAAATCTTCATTTGCGTAAAGTTTATTCAAAACGTTACGGTGAAAGACGTGATGAATTCAATGTCCGTTTAGCAGCATTACATGAACTATGCCAAAATTTTATTGGTCAGCCGTTAAGTTTAAAAATCTTAGCTAGAAATATAGTCCGTAAACAAATTGGTGGTATAAATTTCTGTGCTAAGACAACAGCTATTGGATTACCATCTCAGTTGATAACGTATATTCAATACATCAACCAAGAACATTTAATTGCCAGTGGTATGCCGAAGCAATTGGTAAAACTGGCTCAAGGTGAATGGGTTGATACTATTGGAAGTAATAATTGTTCAAGATCGCGTTCAGTTATCAGTTCTGCACTGTGCTTTAATACTGAACACACTGACCGACTTATCAACACTTTGAACCGAACAAACTATGATGCAAACTTTTTGGAACAAACAAATAATCCCAATGAAGAATTACCAGCTAGCACTTTTCGACGTGGTAGAGCATCAGAACGTCAACATCTTGCATGTCAACGAAGAATTCATAATGATGTTTGCAATATTAGTACTCCTAATAGTCATAACCAACCCCTTCGTCCAACTTCAGCTCCACTGCCCAGAACACTTTTAATCTAGTGACCAGGAGGCTTTGCAGCTTTTATGATCCGTCATTTGAGTATTGTACAGGTGCCCTCTTTATGAGGAAGTCTTATCTCAGGGATCACATTGGATTACAAAACCAGTATATACTATGATTGTTTCACGAATAATCAGACTCAAACTAAGGTTAACTGGTTAATCATATATATATATATATATATATATTACTGGTAATATACAACGTGATTTGCATTTTGAAACTGATCATTCAACAAAATAGTGATTATACAACCGTTCTACCTAGGTGTATAGTAAGTTCAATTTTTGCTTTTGCTCCTATGCTTCAACCACTGATTTTACATAAATAGTGATAAAAGGATTATTATTTTTTATTTTTGAAAACAAAAATTGAAAAAAAAACTATAAAACCTTAACTTAAAACCGAACGACATGCATTCCAATTACGGGGCTAACAACAAAATTGCTGAGTTGATTATTGATTAGTTGGGTTTGTATACTTCATATGTGTGTTCTAGCATTTTTGAGGTTTGTTTCCTCTGGTTTTTCTGTCTTTATTTCATAGTATCTGTTCACTTGTCTTTAAACGTAGCCGTTTTTGATTTATACACGAGCATTATCCAATTCTGACCAATTTCACATGTATTATTTCACTTCAGTAATGTCTGTGATGATTTACACCAATCACTCAGTTCTCAATGACTCCCTGTGTTCACATGTTTTTTCTTTCTCTGTGTATATACGGGTACATTTGTATGCTTGTTTGTGCTCAAAATACTCCCTGATTGAGAGCACAAAACTGTATAGTTAATGTTTAGAAAAATAAGCATTTGAACTTTATCAACCTTATTTTTCCTTTTTACTTGCAGCTTATCTGATTTCTCTGTGTGAAATATACCAATTTTCAAGTGTTTAGTTTTATCAAAATATTTATTAATTACTGATTTTTGTGCTTATTTATTGGTTTTTTAAACGATGAGTCTTACTTTGTTCATTGTCTTTTTATTCTTTCTCTGTGTGTGTAAAACTGGCTATTAAACCCTGTCACTATTGGTAATAGGTGGTAGTAGGCAGATGGAAATGTACATGTGCGAGTGATTCACTGACAGTCTAGTAGTTTCATCTAAATCAAATGTTTCGTATAATAACAGGAATGTTTGTTATAGAGTTTCATCAGTTAGCAGTAATTTGTTCATTTAATTTTTATATTAAGTGAAAATGTTCTGTCCTTTTTAGCACATTGTCTTTCAGGATTGTTCACGAATTGACATCAGCCAGAGAACCACTGAAAACCAGGCAGTATTGGACAGTTATTTCATCTTTGCTTGAGAAGGTTAAATAGTATTCATTCGTGACCTCAGCCGGGATCGAACTGGAGACTTTCAGGTCAAAAGGCAAGCTCATATATCGCTGAGCCACTGGGACGCAATTCAGCGACACACTAATTCTAACTTCTGCGAGTTCGCGAAATGTTGTGCGACTTCCAGCCAATGTCATTGGCGAGTGTTTGTTTTCATACCAAACTTGGTGGATCCCGGTGGTCACACCTACCAACTTGAACGTCAGACAAGTTCATCCTATAGTCGGTCATTAGTGAACACTGGATCAAGTTTCAAGTGTTGGTTTTCAGGGATTTATAGTGATGGAGAATTCCATTTTTGTCTAGAGACTTCTATAGTTTAAGGGAAGGAAAATGTGAGAAACTTGTTGACTTTGGAAGGTACACACCAACGTCAGTTCCACCAAGTCTTTGTTTTAAATAAATGCCAAGTAATTATTAGTGCCACTGTATTATGTGAAAACCTACTACAATAAATATTGATGCTTGTCTTATGAGATAAATTAACATCTCTGATAACCTAGCAAAACTACTTGTGACACAATCTTACTCTGACTATTAAGCTTGTTTTACAGTTGGTTTAGTCTCTAAATAAGACATCTGAGAAAAGAATGCAGTGACGTCCTATGTTCCACTCGGAGTGAAGGGGACAAACAATAGTAGTTGACTAACTGGAATTTACAGTTGTTAGTGTAAGTCTGATACTGTCTTGTTCCGTTTGCGCACCACCTCAGTATTGTACTAAACAGTTTTAAAGCAAGGTGAGACAATAAACTTTTCTTAAGCAATTCATAAAGGCTTGAATGGTATGATTTAATATCTGTAAATTGATAGTTGAGTAGGTAAGTAACTGTGATTGTAACGGCGATTAAAAATGTCTACTGGTAGAATTTGGTAAATACATATCCAGTGACTGTTGGTTTCCAATACTCATCGATATGGTTTTAGTATTAAGTATTATTTCGAAAATGAATACACATTTTCTACTACTTTAGACTAGGCGATTGATCTGATCACATCCACACAGAGTTGAACTCTGTTTCAATCGGTCCAAATTTCCGAATATTTACCACGAGGCAACTAGGGCAGCATAACCACTTCTTATTTAGAATCAGTAGAAACTGATATTACATACACTTGGAATTTCACCGTTGTTGATCTTTAAAATCAGAATCAAATAGGTAAATCTTTGTTGTTCAGATAATTTAGAATTTCGGGAAGAAACCATATTGAAATCTGATGGACTTCTCTTATCGGAGCCTGAGAATTTTGTGGATGCTCACTATAAAACTCCTACTCTTTCCAACTCTTATTCCATTGTTAACTTTTCTGACTTTCCACTTAACGTAAGCAGTCGATTCACTTATCTATACAGAATAGTTTTAAGTGTTTTAATTAATTACGCAGGACTACATGACTGAATTTCAGCATAGAACTTAGCATGGATGTGCAGCCGTTCAAGCAGCCACTCTCCGTATAGGAAACAAAGGTAGACAGAACAAAGGAAAAAAATTCAAGAGAACTATAGTAAACAGAAGTGAAGGAAGAACAAGCAGCTTTTATGGATCCGGGAGATTATGAAGAGTGGAGACATCTGCGCCAATGAGAACAATTTTGGACCGTATCACCAACAGTTCCCAGTAATTAGTTCTTAGCATCCTGACGATCCCAACCAGGGCAACCTACACCTCCCTAGATGGCTCAAACCAACTGTCAAAGACTTCACGGAGTGATTCCAGGTTCTGTTTGACCACCCAAAGCCTTCTTCCAACCTAGTCGTATGTAAGCTCGTTGAGGAGAGTGGTGGCTCAACATACGTAACACATGTTCTGGTCATCTCAGTCGAAGCAGCTTTACAACCTCATAGATTGACTCTCACTTCTTACCGAACATTCGACGCCTGACTTCAGTTTTACCCACTTTATGGTACCAGCTAACAATGGAAATATGAAGTCTTATATCTGTGGTCAAAGAAAGTACTGCATGCAACAAATTAAATGAATTTCCATTTGCCTAGTAATTTTTGGTGCTTTGGTGATTAGCACTAGTTATTTTCCAATATAGATCATATTACATATGAAGATTTAGGCGTCCTAGTGATATGCGTTTGAAAGAAACACCTGGAAGACCTTCCATAATCGGATGAACTAGCCACTCGTCATAATATTAATACCCAAAATAATGATGCAGTACAGTAACAGTGCGTATCACTCATACGCCAGTGTATGAAGTTAAATTTGTGCCTGTAATCGATCAAATTATTTTCAAATACCTAGCACAATAATAGACTGGCAACATACAGGAGAAAAAGGATTACGTATTCATATGCAAAAAAGCATTAGAAATTGATTTGAAATCATTTAAGTGAGTTAAGATAAAAAAATGTTAAAGAATAATAATAGATAAATTGTATACATATAAAACAGGTCTAAGCCTTTTTTTACGGTATGATTACAGCCAATTTAACTATATAACCTAAACGTCCTTTAATATATGAGTTATAATGCCACTATTGAAATCAACTTTATGAAGCGTCCCGATGATACACTTTGCGACAGATGATGTTGGGCGTCTATTTTCAGGATCTGCTGAATCAGGCAACGGAACTAATACGCAGAATAAAGCCATCACTGGGTGAGTCTAAATGGTTTACTTTAATGCCTAAAACTAATAATGCTAGTAGAATATATGGTGCTATAAAAATACATAAGCCAGGTTACCCCATAAGACCAATAGTAGATTTTAGAAATATCCCCACGTATGAATTATCAAAACACTTAGCTCTAATACTATGCCCCATTAGAAATCGTTCAAACTCTAGATTAACTAATTCATATGAGATGAAAAATAAAATAAATGACATTCAACTAGCGAATGATGAAACAATGGTTAGTTTTGATATAACTAGTCTTTATACTAATATACCAGTTAATATGGCCTTAGAAGCAGTTAAAAAAGAATTAACTGCGGATCCGGAACTCAGTCATAGGACAAAGCTGTCCATTGAAGAAATTATTTTAGGAATTCACTTATGCCTCACATCTACTATCTTTAAGTTCCAAGGTGCAATATATAGACAAACAGAAGGTGTAGCAATGGGATCACCAATATCCCCTATCGTAGCAGACATATTTATGGACAGCTGGGAAAATAGTGCCCTCAATACATTTAACCCTACTCCGAAAATATGGTGGAGATATGTGGATGACACTTTCACAGTGCTAAAAACAGAACACATCTCTAGCTTCTTGACACATATAAACTCACAAGTTGAGGGAATAAAATTCACATTTGAATCAGAAAATGAACAAGGAGAATTAGCTATGTTAGATTGTAAGATAAAAAGAATAGAAGAAGGCAAACTACACACTAGTGTTTATAGAAAACCAACGCATTCTAATAGATATTTAGACTTTAATTCGTCTCATCCTTCAACTGTTAAGGCAGGCTTAGTTAAATGTTTAACAAACCGAGCAGTGGCACTAAGTAGCACAAAAAAGATCTAAATGATGAATTAAAACAGATAGAAGAAGCGTTGGTGTTGAATAACTATCCTATAAAATTCATTAGGAAGATCATTAAAGGCCAAAAACAAAATAGAAATAATTGTGAAACTAGTAATAATAACATAAATAAGAGAGAATATAAGTCATCTACAGTTATACCATATAAAGGGGGG